AGTCAAAAATATAAGATCGGAAGTGTCTGAGGAAATTACTTTTAAGACTACTATTGAAAAGGAAGACACATTACGACAAATGTAAATTAGTTTTGCGATAACTGAAAAACGCGAAAATTAGAAGCGCAATTTTTGCAGTCAAAAAATAGCAGCTGACATGAAGACAATAACACTATATTTCAATTAAAAAGCAGCGGCAGAAAAGTAGCCTTCCGAGTTGTTAAGATTGTACTGTTTCATTCATTAATCGACTTGTTTTGTCAATCGGGAAGACTATGGAAAAGAATAACAAGGATCCCTTAATCGTCTAGCTTGAAAGGAAGGGTCCCAAAATTTTTGATACCGAAAAATGCCAAAAAATCCAGCCGAAACTGTCCCATACGGCAGTGATCTAGAATTTTCATCTGGAAGACTCCTAAAATTGCCAATCAGGAAAGCTCCGCACATTAGCATTTAAACCATAAATGAGTTCATTTATGAACCCCTCATAATATGTCAAATTGACTGAATGAAGTCCTTCTTTCCGATTCGATATAAGTGAACCTTCCGGATCGACGGTCCCAAAGTCTTCGATACGGTCCCAAAGTCTTCGAAGGGTCCTAAAACCGACGATCCGGAAGGCTTCCAGCCTCAAAGCGCAGCGTCTACACCATAAATAAAAAAATTTATAAACCCCTCACTTTCTAAAACTGCACCAAAATTGTCGATACGGGAGTGTCCTATAAGTGAGGGTCCTCTGAAAGGGTCCTAAAACTTCCGATCCGGAAGGCTAGCAATCTCAAAATTTAGACCATTCATTTTGTTAAATTGGAAGAATAAAGTCCTTCTTTCCGATCTCGAGGAGTACAGGTAGCACTAATAATTTCTGCCTAGTTTGCAATTTGTAAGACAGTAAGATTTTCCAGATTGACAATTTTGGGACCCTTTTGAATGGGAAAAGGGTCCCAAATTTGTCAAACTGGAAAACTACAAAAACTAATCCTCGGCAATGGTCCCAAAAACTTCAACCAGGAAGGCTCCTGAAATAGTTCAACCTGAAGGGTCCCGATTTCAGCCCTCCGGAAGAGCCCTAAGGTTGTCCATCCAGAAGGGTCCCGTGGTCGTCAATCCGGAAGAGTTTTAACACCTTCAACCAAAAGAGTAATGAAATTGCCGATCCACAAAAAATCTAAAAGCGTCCGTTTGGAAGAGGTGCCGAAATTTCCATCCAAAAAGTTCCTAAAACTGTCGATCTGAAAGTGTTTTGAAAACAATCATCTCAAAGTGTCCCATGTCCATCCGCATTGTCCAAAATAGTCGATACGTAATATTACCAAAAGTTGTCGATACATGAGTCTTGAAATTGTCGATGTTAATTTAGCCGAACTTTAGCTGAGGCAAACAGACGTTTTTTGCACGAAAACAGAGACGTAGAAACAACGCGGTGAAAACAGAACCTTCCAGTTCTGTTATTTTATAAAAATTTCTAAAGTTTTCCTCAAAAAATCAACCACAGAGGTGCATCTTGAATATCGAAGGATAGAAAACCAACTAAAAAGGAAACAGGAAAAAAAAACAAGCTACAGCTTAACGGTAAAGAGCCATTTCAACTCCAATTAAAAAAACTTTGTTCAGAAAAAAGTGCCTGAAAATCTTGAGCTCTTAACAACTTTAGTGACAAAAAAATGTCTTAGCCTGCTATTGCATTTTAAAAATGTGCAATAAAGTCTGTGTCTGCTTTTGGGGTAAAAAAAATGATTGCAAGTTCTTGTCAAGCACTAAAATTGTGCGCAATATGTGGTCGGAAAACAAAAGCTGAAAAATTTGGGTTCGTTTTTGTGGGACGTTGATGAGTTTCAGAGTTACTGTTTTTGCATTTTTGAAGCTAAAAGCACGTTATCCAAAAATTTTACCATGAATATTCTGACTTTTCAATTCAACTGGATAAGGAAAATTTACAGTCAGAGGTAGTAAAATTTGTAATACAATTTCTTAGAAGATCTTCTTCAAAGAATATTTCAGGCCAGAACTTATCTTTGCCTATGTCAATTTATACGGCGAAAATTAAGCAATTAGGAAAAACATTGATGTTACACTATTTTAATCTCCTTAACTTAACCAGACTCCAAAATCACCTGTGAAATTGAAGTTTTGAGCAAATGACGAGGTAAACAAAGTACTTAGTCTCTTTTTTGCAAGTGTCAGCATACATTTTAGAGGTACATTTATTTGAAAAGTGCGATCGTTTCACTCAATTGGTGTTTGGAACAAATTGCTGATTCGTTGGTTCAGGTTTTTATCAAATTTTTTTTTTGAAAAAAAATTTGCTTCCATCATTATGGCAGCCTAGAAAAATTCAAATTGATACGAAACAAAAATCATTAAACAATAAATGAAAGTAAGGTAAAAAAAAAACT